TTGAGCCCTTAACATAATTCAGCAGTACATAAGTGGACAACAAATTGCATCCAGAATGCAGGATAAAACTATCCCAAGGATATGAGGCAGTCTGAATGAAAGATAGAGTAATTAGACAATGAAAAGTCCACCAACCAGACAAAACCACAAAACATACTACAAAAAAACAAAACCCAACAAAAAACAGTTATTTAAAGTACTCAAGATAATAAAAAGGAACCTAATGTTAGATAATAGCTGCATGAAATTCACTTTGATTTTGTTGATAAAAAATATGTAACAACTCAAGTTTGTTTAATTATGAACTAAAATGCATTAATTAGAAACATTTAATTTTCCAATTATTGAGATTGTTGTTAAAAAAGTAATACATGTGTTTGTATTTAAATAGTGTAATTTCCCAGTTGAACTCAGTAGGACTTTGCAATTTGACAGATACATTTTATGTCCAGATGAAGTTCAACCTCTCTGCAATACTCACTGAGACTTTTGAGGAGCTTGTATTTGACTAAATGCAGTCCATACCAGGCCACTGTAGGAGTAGGAGTAGAGTAGAGCGGACTTGGATGATATTTTGTGCAGCTTGTAGCATCATGGCTCCTTTTGGTTAAGATTAGAATTTCTTACTTCTTATATTTTTAATTTTGGCTAATTGCAGTTTTTACACAAAAAAAGCTCCAATTTAAATTAGAAACTTTTACAGAAAATGGATTCTGCTGTACAGAGTTACCATCCTGAGATATGCAACAAATGAAATTATTATAAAAACAACCAAACAACAATATGAGTTATATTTAACCAAATGCTAAACCAAAAAAGATATTTTAATAATCAGGGGTTCCTGACAAATAAGCATTGAAGCTCAAATTAATATAATAATTAACGGATGGTTGCATAGGTGTCCCTACTTCCATCATTCTGAAACCTTTGGTAAGTGGGTTTATATACTGTATGTTGTATACTATATTTGCAAGGTTAACCCTAAAATTTAATTATTTATATAAATATTACAGTGTATGCTCTAAAACTTAATTTGTATGCGATACAATTGGACCACTTATTGCCACAATGTATACTATCAAATTGGATAACATTTTGCTATAATGTATGCTGCAATTCTAGATAATTTATGATGTAGCAATTAGCTATAACCAAAGCTTTAAAGTTGGAATAATTAGAGCTACAATGGATTTTCTTCATATTCATAATTTAAAGAATGTATTACACAATGTACAATCTAAACCTGGATCAATTTTAGCTGTAAAGTTTACTCTACACCTGGATGATTTACTGTGTAACTTCAATTTATTCTCAAAATGTTTAGATTCAGTTTATGGATCATTTATCTCCGCAATATATACTCTAAACACAGATCTTTTATCACTACAATGTATACCTCCGAGCCTGGATAATTTATATCTACAATTTGTATTCTAAACTGGGAAAATGTATTCTCCAAACCTGAATGATTTATAATAGGACTAAAATGTATAGCCTGAACCTCAATCTTTTATAGTTACAGACTGTGCTTTAAACTTGGATCATTTAAAGTCGCAATGTATTCACTACATTCGGGTTATTTATGGCTAAGATGTAGGCTTTACATCTGGATAATTCATAATAAAGCTTTAATATATACTTTAAATCATGTTCTATTATTGCTCTATTGTATACTCCAGGACTGAATAGGTAATATCTGCAATATATGCCCCTAATCTTTACATTTATATCTCCAGAGTTTGCTCTAACCCTGAGTTATTTTATAAATCAGACAAATATCATACCTTCCAGTGAACATTGTGAAGACTTTGAAAAATGTCATGAAGTAACTTGCTACATTAAAATGGATGTTGCTTTCCTATAATGGTATTATATTTCTCTCATATTCTCGCTCCCCAATTCAATGCACTGAATGCACTGAATATTGAATCAGCATACCACCACAGCCTTATATAATAGAGCTGTATTCCAAAAAAAAACCATAGATATTTTTTTTTACACAATTTCCATTTAAAAAAAAATATTTTTCATGGGTTTCATATGTGCTCAATGGCTAATACAATGGATCAAATTTCAAAACTATTTATTTTGATAGAAGGAATTCCATATAAATTTTACAAAATTACTTATTTCTGTTAAATATACAAGCTTTTTTGGAATCTTTACAAGAGTGATATATTTACAATTTAATGTATAATTTTTATATATTTTTTAGTGTTTCAAGAATATTAATTTGAGTGGGATACCTGCTTGTCAGTGATATATCTATCGAGAATGAAGAGGATGCAGTTATGACCGGATGCTAAACTTTCAATGGGCATTAATGTATGGATCTCTTTTCTGTTTCCTGTCTGTTGTGTTCAAATTAAGAGAATCAAGATATGATTAACTGCCATTTTCTGACGTCCTCACAAAATTTATACCAAGTAGTTTTGCTAGTGAATTGGTTTGATTTACTATCATACAAAGATACACAGTTTTGGCCATCATTAGCTTGTTCAAGCTGTAGATACCTTCAGTAGGGTTTTATGAAAAAGATGTATCTTCCGATACAAATATCTACACTAAGAAATACTGTGAGTTTTACTCTTAATGCAATAGTCTAGTGACTCATTTTAACATTGAAATCTAGGCTGAAAAAAATAAAGTTCATCAAGTTCAACCATCCACAAATCTTATTCTTTAGTTGATAAAAAAGAGCATGTTTGAAGCCATTTCCAATTGTGTCACAAACAGGGGAAAACATATTCCTTGATTACAAAACAGCAATAAGATGTGCCCTTGGATTAACTTGCTGTTACACATACATTAATTATTATACCCTATAATATTTAGTTTTTCAAAAAAGTATTTTTTTTTAATTCTTTTTTATAAAGCCTCTATAGAATTTAATAAAATAACCTCTTTAGGCAAAGAATTTCACATCCTTGTTGTTCTCACTGTGAAGAACTATTTCCTCCGCTGTTGGCATAATTTCCTTTATCCTTAAAGGATAATCTCTTGTTCTGTGTACAGTCCTGTTAATGAACAGATTGACAGCTGTTTGTATGGACCCTGTATATATTTATATAATTCTATCACATCCCTCTTGAGTTGCCTTTTCTTTTTTAAGTAAATCATTTAAATTTTTCTAGTCTTTGTTCATAACTGAAACTGTCCATTCTCTTTATTAATTGTGTAGCCGATCTTTGCATATGTAATATCCTTTTTATTGTTAAAATGCATACCAAAAAATTGCACCACATAATGAAGATGCAGTTATGGATTTATAAAGGGGCAAAATAATTGCTTCATTACATGGGTTTATAGTGCCCTACTGACATTTGCAACTGCTGAATGGCACTGCACATTGTTGCATGTTTGTTTCTGCAATTATTCCTAAAACATTATTCCTAAGTCCTTCCCCATCACGTCTGTGAGGTGCTTATTCCGAAAATACAAAACGTTGCTCTTAGTTGTGAATAAGAATGTACCTGATAATTGTGTTGGGAGCTCAAGTCACATTAAGCTAGTATTATTCTGCAAAAAGAGCAACATCAGGTACATAAGGTAAATAGGAAGAGTAATAAAACAGTTGAGGAATAAACACACACAAATCTATATTTAAAACTGAAATCAAGAAAATTGAAAAGAATGTTGTTCTAGGTAATCAGTTTTTCATATGTGTTTTTTGCAACATATTTTGAATATACGTACGTATTGTTTATTGTTTGTTTTGTTTTTGTTTTGTTTTCAGAAAAGATAGCTTGCATAAAATCATGGATATGTAAAATAAGTGTTCTAAATCTCATAACTTAAATTATTGGCAGAGATATTAATCATTGTGAGACTGAATTTTTTTCTTTTAAATTGATCTGGTTCTCTTCAGTGCATTGTTAACATTTCTCATTCACGGATTCTTAGTGGTACAAATGATCTATGTAAGAAAAAAGTACAATATATTTGAATTTCACCAAGGCAACTAAATTTTACATCTGAACTGAAAAAGTAATTTGCTTTATTCCCTGCAGAGAGTAATAAGACCCTGAATCAAGGGTCCAATGTAAGTACTAACTCAAGTTTCAAATTAAATAAATGTGATAAAGCTTTCATCTGGCTGTTGATCAAATGTGCAAAGGCACTGATTTCGAAAGACATATTACAATGTGTCTCTTGTATAAGTCCCTAATGCAGAATCATCAATTACCTACATTTGGGATTACTTGACTAAGGCAGACAGAAATGTTACTCACTTCTTAAGTGCTGCCCACTGGGAGAATACGAGATATGTTCTAATCTGGAGGTTGTTAAACTTGGCATTAAGAAATAATGGATCCATGTTTATTTTACAAAATGACAGTTATACTGAAACTATTCAAATATAGTTTTAAGTGTATGGCCATTTGAATCATGCTTTGTTATAATGGGAGCTATCACATTTGATGAAAATGCGATGGATGTAAGAATTTCAGACTAACTGTATATTTTTACATGATGCTATTGGAAATCAGTTAAGTTGCTTGGTTTTATTTGTTGTTATTTTTTTAACTCAGATATGTAGTGTATTGCAGTTTATAAATAATATTATTTATGGTGTCACATGATAAAATATAATTGCAATAATGTAGCTACTTGTGAAATATACTATAATAAAAAATTAAGAATTTATGGGATAACTTTAATGCTTTGAGGAATTACAATTTAGCAGTTATTGCAATAAGCTATACAAATATTAAAGCCAGCCAGTCAAGCCAATAAATAAATGAGATGTGTGAGAAATATCAAATACATGAAAATGGGATTTACTGTAAAGGATGGGAGTTGTGGAGAAGAATGTTTCAATAAAAATGTGTTTGTACGCAAGTCAGAAATGCAACTAAACATAATAATTTTTTATGTTTTTGGCTTTTATTCTAGTATATCAGAAACACGTCATGAGTAGTGATGTCCTGAACGGTTCGCCAAACGGTTCGCCACGAACTCATCATTGAGTAAACTTTGACCCTGTACCTCACAGTCAGCAGACACATTCCAGCCAATCAGCAGCAGACCCTCCCTCCCAGACCCTCCCAACTCCTGGACAGCATCCATTTTACATTCATTGTGAAGCTGCATTCTTAGTGAGCTGTCCAGGAGGTGGGAGGGTCTGGGAGGGAGGGTCTGCTGCTTATAGGCTGGAATGTGTCTGCTGACTGTGAGGTACAGGGTCACAGTTTACTCAATGATGAGTCCGTGGCGAACAGTTCGTGGCGAACCATTCGCGGACCGTTCTGCGAACCGTTCGGGACATCACTAGTCATGAGTAAATAAGAACAAAGTAGAGTCAGTTCAATTAATTTTAAACTAGAGCCATTAATCATAATTTATATATTGAATCATTTTTGAGATACAGCGTTTAAACAATAAAAAAAGTTAAAATTATATTAATTTATGACTATGCTTCAGAAAACTGTATTATACCACTATGTAACATTTTCTACACGTTTATCCAATTCTTCAGACCTAGCACAAACATCTTATTTAATAATAACAAACACAGAATTCTTGTTTCTACTTACCAACCACATGGTAATTCCAATTATTCTAAAATTAGGCAACAATAAGGTATATATTTGCATATTTTTTAATGTTTAGGAAGTATTTGACCCAGGAGACAATGTAATAGTGCAACATGTTCAGTAATAATAGGGCTTTAGCACGTTTAAAATAAAAAGCTCATAGTAATCCGGACCTGCTTTTTGGATCTGGTGAATGAAGTGTTTAGACCGAAAGTTATGGCTGTTTCCCTTCATTTTCATGTTGTCTGATAAGCATTAAACAACTGTTAGGTACTTATAAAAAGAAGAAGAAAACAAGTATAGCATAATTTATTAACTAATAATCTAATGATTATTTTTTTAGATGGTATATTATTTAATAACAGCTATAGTAGAGTGGGAAATATTGGCCAGATTGGGGAGCCCCAACAATGCCAAATGGGAAATTAAAGATGACAGCATGTTGAAGTAAATTACATTTTTATATTACAAACAAAAACTCTAAAGGACTAAGATTTAAACTATATATGCACTTATAAGGACATGGGGACATGGTGACATGAATATTGCTTTCATGTACATCACTGTCAGAGTCATTTAGGCAAAAGGGCTACAAGGAAAGGACAATATCTAAAAAAATAAAATCTTCCCTAAAAACACCAGGGGAAAGGCTCCTACAATACAAAGAAAAGGAAAACAAGTTATGTAACTAAATAGTTATGTAACTATTTAATAGATTCTTTCAGTAATTATAGTAATTATCACACAAAGTCATAAGTTCTGCGTTTCACTGAGTCATGAAGTAAAAAAGTGCATGATCATTTTAATATATTCGGACTTGATATCAGTGTTTATGTTTGGTCCTACCTAACTTCTGATCCAAATGGACTGCTCATACCTTCAGCATCAATTTTACATATTGTACTTGATGTTGTTAATACAGCACATTACACATCATATCATAAAGTGGTTTAGTGACACAATAGGAAAAAGCTATGTGGCAGCGATAGGAAGATGTAAATAAATATGATATGTGTGTACAATTAAGCTGTAAATGTGGTGTGTAAACAGGAGTTTTATTGGAAAGATAGGTGCACAGCATTGTCGTCAGCAACATAATTAGCAGAACAAAAATGAAATTGTATACACAATGAACATGTATCACAACATATAATATGGTTTAGAGTTGACTTTTACTAAACATTCCGTATTGGAGCCGAATTGGTCTGTGCAATTTGGTCCTTTCCAACATCACCATAGCTGCGTTTAAGGTAATCTCAAGCAGTTCTATGACTGTAATCTGTTAATTTCCACAGTCTGTGCTAATGACAATATAAACTGTTACCCTGTCCAATTTTATCAGATATTATTGCATATTCTTGCATTTATATTGCAATAATATTTGAAGTATTTAACTGTAGTTATGCTTGGCATACCTGTTGATGTACAACATTAAAATGGTTTTAACACACTTTAGATTTCAGTTTTCTATATAAAAACTTTGCACTGAAGGAAGATATAACATTCTTATTTACACGTAAAGCTAAAATATTTTTTCTAGCTAAGATTGTATTTAATTAAACAGTATTTCATAGATTTTCTTTTAAAGTGGATTTAATAATTCTCCAGAGTTTTGATTTATTGCTGCCCTGTTGGTTAATCTTTCAAGTAATACTTATAATGCATTTTTCTATCTCTAATCTTTTACAACACTGTACTCCATTTCTGCTTTCAACACGATTTTCTTTAAAGGCTGCTGAACTCGATAAGCAAGCCTCAAAAACAAATACTGCATAAAATAACATTTACAAAAAATACATGTTTTGACGTTCTGTACTGAGTACTGGTACCACATTGTAAAATAATTGTATATAGAACAGAAAAGAACGCTGGAAAATCCATTAAACTTGTATTTGTGTGCAATAATACAATATAGGATCCTTGAAATACCTGAGTGGTATTTCATTATTGCAATTGATAGTATTAAGAAGAAACAATCTAATCAGTACAAAAAATATATAGCATGGTTTGATATAAGTAGCTGAAAAAGCAGGCAATAAATTTGAGTGGGCTAGGAACTTCTACCATAATCATAAATGGACCATGTGTGGGCCATCTCCATCATTTTAGTTATTGAACCATAGTATGTCTTATTCTTCTCAACTCAAACAAGCATAATTGTGTACTATGGGAATAGGGAGTTGCCAGTCCCATGGCCCTACACATCTCACACTACCCCTTGTAGCTATGTATCCTCAAGAAAAATTCTGTTTATATTTCCTGCCAACTTTAAAACAATTCTTCAACAGGAGATTTGGTAAATATGCACACTATTTGTTCTGTAATTTAAATTTCATTAAAGCAAACACTGACACATAACACATTTCATTAAAAAGTCTTTTTCGATGCTCATCAATCCTATCAACAGACGTTTATCATCTCCCGGACATTCTTGACATATATAGCAGATGGTGAATGAGTTTATAGGAATCAATCTTAACATATTAACTTTGTAATACTAGAGTAAATATGCTAAATCAAGTAGGTGGGTTTTAATGGAGTTTGTTTCTATTGATTAACAATTCAGAATAGGAGAATACGACAGCACTGAAATAGGAAACATTATTATGTGTCAAACACTGCATATTGCATGGTGGAGAATGATTATGGTAAACAATAAATGACAAGCCTGGTTATTTAGAAATATTTTCTTTATAAAGTAATCAGCCGTGGAATTAATCATTTTAACTGTTATGCTATAAATATATACTATACGCTTGTAAGCTGGTAGTTTTACATACTTTCTGCATTAATTCTGTAGAGGTAATTTTATATTTCAAACTTGCAAAAATAGATTGGGAAATCTTCAAGTTGGCAACGTATTAAAGGTATGTTTGCCTAAGTTAGGCTAAGTAGGATATGACTAGAGAAATAGTCAAACTCGTTGTGCGATGATCTGATATAGTCTTTGCGGGTTATTCAAAGGTAAGCAAATTTAATGTTTTAGTCTAAAATATAACTGGCTGAGCATTTTTGCAGTCCAGGTATTTGGGCTTGAAATTTGAAATTGACCTTATGTTTATCCATATTTGACTTTATATTCCCTTCCTTCCTTCCTTTGTTATATAGGCTGCTTGTTATTTTCATTGACAGCTTGCTTGTGCTTTCAAATCCCATTTTGCACAGAATGACATCACGCTGTGCAATTAAAAACAGACTGTGCGGTCCGTTCATTTATGTACATTAAAACAAAATTCAATAATATGAATGTATAGATTCAAAAAGATGCACTTATAGTAAATAAAAAAATAAAACAATATAAAATAGATTTAAGAGCACAGTGTATGTTTATTATTTTTAGATCACAAAATGTTTTTGATTTAATACTATATGGGATATAATATTTTCACTATTGCTGTTATAATGTGATTTCAATATGTGTCTTGTTGAAGAACAGAAGCTAGGTACATACATAGATGTACTAAATGGTGTGCTAAGGAAACCTTATTTGGGGAGGGGCCGGGGGGATAACCCACAAAAGTAAGTAGCTTAATGGGACCTTTTTGTGTCTTATGTATCTTTGAGTTCATTGAGACACTTCTGTATTCTTTTTGTGTCTTGTTATTCAGCAGTAGTTTCTAAAGTAATTATTTTGTAATTCTAAAGTGAATGCATGTGGCAAGAGTTTATTGTATTTAGTTTGGACAGGTAGAATTGTATTTAAAAATAAACAACATTAAACTAAAAATACAGGAATATTATTGAGGAGTAATTATAGACTTAGTTATTTATGATATCATGGACGTTTAGTTACATTAAATTATACTTTTTATAGGAAAGAAAACAAAGTGTCAGAGTTTTCCTATCCAATTTATTTTCTCAGAGAAGATGATTTTGATGGGCTGTTTTCTATTACCTCAGTAGCAGATTTTAACCAGGAACAAAATCTATACTTCTTTTCTGAAATGCTTTTGAATCATTTTAAATTTCATGCTATCTATGTCATACCAGGGTGACTGGTTATCCGATTTTATTCAGGTATATATATTTTGTGTTCAAAACTAGCATTTTCTGTAAAGTGTTGTTCATCTCTGTTAACGCACTTAAAATAAATTATTGGTTACTTTTGCTTAAGAAAATAATTTATCCACATGTTTGACACGTGGTTTGAGTTTAAAGAAACACTCTAGCAGAAAACATGAAGTAGTAGTTTTGGTGCATATGCCCCATCACTGCAGCCTGATAATTGTAAACATTGTTGTTTCTGAGAAACATGCAAGATGATTCTTATTCTTCTTATTTTATTATTTATATAGCGCCAGCAAAATTCCGTAGCATTGTACAATGGGTGGACTAACAGACACATAATTTTAACCAGACAAATGGATGCACAGGAACAGAGGGGTTGAGGACCCTGCTCACTGAGCTTACATGCTAGAGGAAGTGGGGTATAGTGACACAAATGGTATAAGTAGGGGTAATAAAATAGATTGCTAGAAAAGTATTCACTGGGAACTTAGTAGGTTATTTTTGACAGTTGCAGGAGAGGAGTCATGGGGGAGGGATGGTTCTTATCAGGTCCCCAATGATTCTCTATGAAAAGCAAAGGACAGCTCCAGAGATCATCCATATTTATCAGGATGATTTCAAAA